TTAGTGTGTGTGTGTGTGTGTGTGTGTGTGTGTGTGTGTGTGTGTGTGTGTATGGGGTTTCCCACATGCCGTTGTGCATGTGTGGATGTCTGAGGACAACTTGTGGGAGTCAGTCCTCTCCTTCAGCCATGTGGGTTTCAGGGATAAGGCTCATATCATCAGGCTGTGGGTCAAGTGCCTTTATCCACTAAGTCATTTCATTAGTTCTTGGTATTTTACTCACAATGAAGTATTATTTAATAAATCTATGATTGCTTCATAAAATAGTTTTTGCATGTATTGGAATTTATCCTGCTCTTTTTATACACTTTTCTAGTTAGTGGTTCAAAGAGGCAGGGTTGGAGATGTGGTTCAGTGGTTATGTACTCGTTCTGCTTTTTCAGAGGATCCAGATTCACTTCTGCACCCATATGATGGCTTAAAACATCTGTAATTCTGCTTCTAAGTGATACTATGCCCTCTTCTGGTCTCTGCGAACACTGCACCCATGTGATGCACATACATACATATCAGCAAACATTCATACACATTAAATAAGGTTTAAAACTCCTTTTAAATATGTAGGTTGTAAGCATGCATAATTTTTTCCTCTAAAAAAGGTGAGATTTCTCAATGTCATAATTGTGTTATAGACCTCTAGAGGTAGAAACATGACATCCCTTACCTTCCTCAAAGTAAATACCATCCTCCAATCAGGAATAAGAACAAATATTCATGAAGTGCAAAGTTCAGTAATAATTTCCTTTTCCTCCCCTATCTCTGTAGTGGTTTTTGGATCCTGGTTTGATCACACACTTGGATGGTTAACCAGGAGAGACACAGAGAACTTTCTACTAATGTCCTATGAGGAGCTACAGAGGGTAATTCTCTTTTACTGTGTTTCCTACATTGTTCATATCTGCCTTTGTTCCTTCCCTTTGTATTTTTCTAGGGGTAAACAATCGAGTAAGTGGGAGACGGTCATAGTTAGCATTGTTGTCAACTTGACACACCTGTGAGAGGAGCTATCCATGGAGAAAATGCCTCTACTAGATGTCTGTGGGGGGATTTTCTCAATTAATGATTAATGTAGGGGAGCCTCACCACTCGGAGTGCTATAGCCATAGACGGGTGGGCTTGGGATGTATAAGAAAGGTAGCCGAGTAAGCCAGAGGGAGCAAGTCAGTGAGCAGCATTCCTCTGTGGGCTCTGCTTCAGTACCTGCCTCAAACTTCTGCCTGGCTTCCCTCCATGATGCTTAAAACCCAGAAGCTGGATAAGCCCCTCCTACCCCAGGTTGTTATTGGTCAGTATTTTATCATGGTAACAGAAAAATCAAACCCAAACAGGGAAGGTGTGTAAAACCCAGCCTTTCATTGCCTGCATAACCTCAGCACGCTCTAACTCATCCTGTGACTCACTGTTGTCCTGAAACTGCAAAAACAGTACTATTCAGCTACACAATAAAAGTGACAACTATCTAGAATAGTGATTGTCATGCTACATGTGTGCTTGATGAGTCTTAGCCATGTCTTATTAAAGACACGTGCTTCGTCTAAACATTCCTTCAGTTTCAGAGTAAGAATCTGATGGCTTTTGTTCAGAACGCTAGCCTGCCAATGCTCTGGGTTCAAGCTCAAAAACATTAGTACACGAAAGTTGTCACAGTGGCTCCCACCTCGACAACCTGACCACATCAACATATTTGATGCAGGCACCTCAATAGCTTCATATTGGGGCCCAGGGACAATCAGATGGAGTATTGAACATAAAACTTAGGCAAGGACCTTTCATATAGACTTTCAGAGAATGTTCCAAGCTCGAGTCCTAAGTCAAAACTAAGAACTGGCCAACAGGAATCTCACCATAGTAAACTATGTATTATATACAGCAATTCCAATACTCCAAAGAGTAGTGGTTTTTCATACAGCTCTTTCTCTCTTTCAAATGCCCTTCTATTGGCTGATTTAATCCAGTGAACATTGAAATTCCCATTTCTTTCTGTGGTATACAGTATTTTTTTAGAAAGTGCCTGTTCATT